CGATTGGAGAACACCCGAGAGCGACAGAATTCAATCTCTCAGGAGACACTGGAAGCCACTGATGCTTGCCGTGCGGCTCGTCTGGCAGGGGATCGGGATTTGCACCGTTCTCAGGTGTGCAGAACTCGGTCTCTGTTAAGAAGGGACAAGGAACAGTTTATTAGGAATCTTGCTGAGGAGGTCGAAGGCCATTTCTTAGTAAATGACCTTCGTCCTGCATACCAAGCCCTGAGAAAACTGAACTCCAAGCCCTCTTCACAGGTGACTGCAGTTCGCTTAGTAGGTGGCCAGATCGTCTCAGATCCTGTTGCAGTGCGGGAACGTTGGGCTGAGTACTTTGAGCAGTTGTATCAGGTTGACCCTCCAACAGTTAACTTGGATGTGGGTAGTGCTGTGATCCCGCTGCCGGACCCAACCATTAGCGAGGACCCACCCTCCCTACCTGAAGTCTGGGGGCGATCTCCAAGCTGAAAAGTGGTAAAGCAGCGGGTATTTGCGGCATCCCAGCTGAACTGTTAAAGGCTGGTGGTGAACCTATGGCGCGGGGATTGCATGCTGTCCTGGCTGCCATTTGACAGTCCGGTACCGTTCCCTCTGACCTGTTGAGGGGTGTGGTCATCCCTTTCTGGAAGGGGAAGGGGGACCGATGGGATTGCAGCAATCACTGCGGCATCACACTGCTTAGTGTACCAGGCAAGGTTCTGGCCCGCATCCTTCTGAGGCGTATTAGAGACCATCTTCTAAGGCATCAGAGGCCAGAGCAATCCGGATTCACTCCTGGTAAGTCCACAATAGACCGTATCCTTGCACTTCGAGTCATTGTAGAGCGCCGTCGTGAGTTTGGACGTGGGCTGCTTGCAGCCTACATCGACCTCAAGAAAGCGTTCGATACGGTGCATCGGGAATCACGGTGGGAGATCCTGAGATTGAGAGGAATTTCAACAAGGATTATTGAACTAATAGCAAATCTATATACTGGTACTGAAAGTGCTGTAAAGTGTGGTCGGGGCTGTCGAGCTTCTTTCCTGTCAGTTCAGGAGTGAGGCAAGGCTGTGTTCTTGCACCAACTCTTTTCAACACTTGCATGGACTGGATACTGGGCAGAGCTACTGTTCAAAGTCATTGTGGAGCAACACTGGGTAATATTAAGGTTACAGACCTTGACTTTGCCGATGATGTTGCCATTCTATCTGAATCTTTGGAAACCCTAGTGGTGGCTCTCGATGCATTTAGTAATGAAGCGAAGCCCTTGGGTCTAGAGGTCTCCAGGACCAAGACCAAGATCCAGGATTTTAGGGACTTGCTAGGAGAACCTGTTCAGTCGGTACGTGCTTGCGGCGAGGACATCGAAGTCACAGAGAGCTCTACATACCTTGATAGTGCAGTTCATAACTCTGGGCTGTCAGACCAGGAAGTCAGCAGATGGCTTAGCCTGGCAGCAAGGGTCATGAACTCTCTCGACAAGAGTATTTGGAGGTGCCGCTACCTGTGCAGAAGGACCAAGCTATGGGTTTTCAGGGCCTGATAATGCCAGTTTTTCTCTACAGTAGTGAAACCTGGACATTATCCAGTGCCCTGGAGTCTCGTCTTGATGCCTTTTGTAATAGGTCCTTGCGCCGGATCATGGGGGTACTGTTGGCGGGACCATGTGTTTAACCAACGGCTGCACCGTGAGACTGGCACAGGACCTGTTGCCTGCACAATCCGGGATCGCCAACTCAGGCTATATGGCCACATGGCTTGCTTTCCACAGGCTGATCCTGCTCATCAGGTTGTCTGTGTAAGAGACAACCCTGGGGGGAGGAGGCCTGTGGGACGACCTAGGAGGTCGTGGCTTGGGCAGATCGATCAAGCCTGTCGGGAAGAGCTCGAGAAGGGCCGAGCCCCTGCCTGGCGGCTTGCCATGAGGGATCCCAAAAGGCGGAAGCAGGTGAAGCGGCTATGCGCCCCTGTCGCCGTTAGCTCCAGATGATGATGATATACATATATATACATACATATATATAGATATAGATATAGATATAGATATAGATATAGATATATGTAGGTATGTATGTATATAGGCATATATGTATTAATGTATTTATTTATATACACAAATTTATATCTATATCTATATCTATATCTATCTATTTATCTATCTATCTATCTATCTATCTATATATATATCTATCTATCTATCTATCTATATATATATATATATATACATATTTACATAAACATATATACATATATATATATATATATATATATATATATATATTATTATATTTATATATATATATGTATATAAAATATATATTCATATATATTATATATATATATATATGTATATTCATATTATATATATATAAATATTATATATATATATATTATATATAATATATATTATATTATATATATATATATTATATATATATGTTCATTATGAATATATACATATGTATATGTACATACACATATATATGTACCTTTGAACATAACTTTAATAATTTTCCCCTGTTCATCTTGAGTCCGGCTTCAGACTTTCTCTATTCAGATCAAGTATCAATTTTCTGTAATTCATTTTGACTCGCGAAGAGGACAATGTCGTCTGGAAATTTCAGATTAGATGTTCATCCCTTACACATAAACACACACACCAAAGAGAACATATGCATACACACATATATCCATATATATAAGTAAATATATATATGTATATATTTATGTATATATATATTATATTTATCCATATATATGTATATATATGTATATATTTATGCATATATATATATATATATATTATGATATATATCCACATATATGTATAATATATATATATGTATATATATTTGTGTGTGTATATATATATGCACACATACATACATATACACAAACACACATCCACACACATACATGTGTGTATATAAACACACATATAATAGGTGTAAAACACAGGTGAAATACATACATACATACATATATATAGGAAGTGTTTGAAATACAACAAACATTGAGTAGAACGTTATTGGTCAGTGATCCCCACTGGCCAATAAAGTTCTACTTATCACAAATATATTTTACTAATACCTAGAGAAAGAAGTATGATATATGGTTTATATGCCTGATACCATTGTAATCATACTTTCTGTATAACAAATAATTTTTGTTGTAATTCAAACACTTCCTAAATTTGGTCTGTATATATGTGTGTGTGCATGCATATGTAAGTAGTTACTATCACTTTGTAAAACTTAAGTTCGGAAGGAAATGAATGTTACAGATATCTCCATAATATAGGTTCACAAACTGATACACTGAATAAAGAGTGACTTTTAAGGTATGTACCCACTCTTCGTCGGCTCATATACATGGCCCAATTCCTGTTTTCAAACTGCGTTTTATTTGTTATATAATCCTGCCATAGGTCAAGTTTGAGCTGATCTATTTCGTATTCTCGGGAATCACCGAACATACAACCTCACGCGGAATTGACTCAGCTCTGTAGTGAGTTAGCCCTATAACACATTGGTTGTGAAATTATTCATACTGAGGTGTTTGACATGGGATTCAATGTTTTTTTTTAATAAGTTATTTCTACTGCCTATTTTGTAGATGGTATCCTTCTCTGAAA